CAGAGGGATGCCCGCTGATCAGTGGAGAGTGAAGAAGGACTATCTAGCCTCCCTTTCTCTGTTGGTGATTGTGTCAACCCATGGTCATGGGGCATGAAGCTAATGACAGTCTGAAGAGTTGGATTTGTGTGAGCCTGTGGGCTTGATCATCTCCAATATTCTCTGGCTAAACCAAGGGTATAAATGGACATCCCTTGCTGTCTGTAGAAATATCATCCTGACAGCAAAAGTTTTGGGAAGTGGAGGAAAATGCTTTCTGGAAAACCTTGGTTCTAGACCCATCTATGCAATGACCTCCTGTGCAAACTGGGGCAAGTCATTTTCACTTTTCTGTTCTTGGTCCTTCATCATTCAGTGGATAATCACTCTGGTTACTCCACCATGTACTGGTACATGCTCCCAGTAGTCTCCAAAACTGTCTTAGCAGACGGTGTCAGACATGTATGCATGTACACACACACACACACACACACACACACACACTTGCCTTTTGCTGTCCCATTTATTTGATGCTGAATCATAAGCACCTATTAGATGCTAGTCACTGAACATATTATAGCTAATCTTTTTTTAGATTTGTATTTTGGGGAGATAGGGTCTTGCTCTGTCACCCAGGCTGGAGTGCAATGGTGCAATCATAGCTCATTTCAGACTGCAACTCCTGGGTTCAAGCAATCCTCCCACCTCAGCCTCCCAAGTAGCTGGGACCACAGGGGAGTGCCACCACACCTGGCTAATTTTTTTGTTTTTGTAGAGATAAGGTCTTGCTATCTGACCCAGGCTAGTCTCTAACTCTTGACCTCAAGTGATCCTCCCACCTTGGCCTCCCAAAGTGCTGGGACTAGAGGTGTGAACCACTGAGCCTGGCCTATACTTAATCTTTATTACATACTTATACAGTATGTATAATTTTCCCCAGAGACATGAAATAATTTGTTCAAGGTCCCTTGGCTGGCAGGTGGTAAGACTTGGATGTAAACCCAGGGCAGTTGAGTTCCAGAGCCCCTGCTGTTTCCCCAAGGCTACACAGGTTCTCCATGCTTGCTACCTCCTGGCTTGTGTTGTTCCTTGACAGTGTTGCATGTCAGTGGTGACTCCTCAATTGTACTACTTGCCCTTGGGGAACAGGGGTGCATGCTCCTGCATGTCTCAAATCTCCCTGGACCTTGAGCTGGTCATGGTCAATAGGCTGAGAAATAACCCCCACCCCCCACTCCCCAAGGTTTGTCTATGTCTCAATATGTGAAGCCTAGAAATGTAACATTTGGGAAACAGTCTTTGAAGATGAGATTAAGTTCAGGATTTTGAGATGAGGACATCACCCTGGATTAGCTGGGTGGGCCCTAAATGCTATCCGTATAACAGAGAAACAGAGAGATATTTGAGACATACACAGAAGCCAATGTGACTATGAAGGCAGAGGTTGGAGTGACGCAGCTACGTGCCAAAGAACACTAAGGATGTCAGCTGCAACCAGAAGCTAGAAGAGCCAAGCAACGGATTATCCTCTGGAGCCTGGAGGGTGGCCCTGCTGGCACCTTGATTTCAGGCTTCTGGTCTCCAGAACAGAAAGAGCACACATTTCTGTTGTCTTAAGCCACTACAGTTGTGTTAATTTGTTATAGCAGCTGTTGGAAACTAATACAGTGCTCAACCAAGACACAGAATCCTAGAACTGAAAGAGCCTGGAGAAGCATTTGGCACTGTCCTCTGATGAAACAATCCTGCAGACCTACAGGATGAAGTGATCTGGCAAAGGTCACTCAGCAATTAGAGGCAGAATCGGGAACAAAACAAAGGTGCTCCACAGTGACTTATGCTGAGTCCCAGAGTCAGGAAAGTCCAATGAGAAGCTGTCCTTCTGCTGGTGTATTTTCTTGTATGATTACTTTAAAAGAAGTGGGGAGGGTTGAGCAGATGAAATGTTGTAAGTTTGGAAAGCATAATCACTGCTGTTATCATCATTATTATTGATTTGGGCAATAGACTCTCTTGGCCTGTTCCTTCTCCCACAGAGCTGGGAAATAGCACTATTTTAGGGCCACTGGGTTCCAGATGGGGAAACCACAGTGTGAGAGGGGAAGCGAGTGAGTCCAATCACACCACCGGCGTGTGGCTGAGCCCAAAATAGGACATAGGATTTTGACTCCCTGCCTTTTCCCAGGGCTCTACTTTTCATTTTCCCCTTTCTGTAAACTGGATCAGTAGGATCAGTGGGCTCCAGGTATGGGGGGTGTGTGTGTGTGTGTGTGTGTGTGTGTGTGTGTACGTGTGTGTTTGACATGGGTCAGCTAAGACAGTTTTGGAGACTAATGAAAACATGTAGCAGTACATGATCTAGTAAATTACCCACCGTCATGAAATAGCAAAGCAGGGAAGGAAATCTGCAGCCTGCCCTCCACCCCCACCAAGGCAGCATGAGAAGCAATGATTTAATGAGTGTTCTCCCCTTCCTCCCTGCAAGCCTTCACTCGTCAAATTTCTATGCTAGCGTTCTGTGAACCTGCCTTGACTTCTACTCCAGCCAGGACAACTGGATGCAACTTATTTCTTGTTTTGGGAAGGAAGAAACAAACCCTACAAATATTTTCACTACTGAGTTCAAATGGAGAGAGGTGTAAACCGGGAACCCTTTGAAGGGAGTTATAATCTGACAGAACTAGGCTTGTCTCATCGCTGGACCTGTACATCTTGTCTCCCCTCACATCCTCCCCCTAGACATTAACCCCAGAACTGGGGAGGAGAAAGACTGCTGACGAGTAAGAAGGAGAGCTTAGTTACTGATGTGTCTTGGTGCCCTCCCAGACACCACCATGGGGCAGAGTCCAGGCTACAGTAGGGGAGAGGGGATTAACAATGATAGAGTTATCCAGGTGGCCTTGGAAATTCCAGATTGAGGGGCCTTCACCTTTGCCCATCCTGTGTAGAACTTTGGTGGTCCACAATCTTGCTGATATCCATTGCACCCCCAATTGTACGGGAACACTGGCACACGGGAGGCCACAAGAGTGTTGAGGAAAATGCACCTCTGCTGCACAGGATCTCCCAAAGGCCTCAGGCGCCTGCGATCCGCCAAGCTCACCCTGCACCCACAAGGAGAGCAAGGAGAGGCTGAGGGCCTGGAAGACCCACCCCAGAGAGCTCAGAGCATGCACTAGGAGGGCACAGTGTAGACCACAGAGCCCTCAGGATGAGCAGGGATAAAGCCCACTGACCAAGCAGGGCAAGTCACATCTCAGTAGACGAAACTATTTCCTTCTGGAGCCCAAGGCCAGCAAAGCATCGTGACAAGGCAAGACCAAAATAATGGGCCACCCCCTTTCACTGCCTCAGCAGTAACATTGACCACCCCCTTGCCCAAGACCATTCTCCCCAGACTGGACCCCAGAGGAGAGAAGGGAGACAAAAAGGAAGGGAACTCCATAATGAGGCTAAATTTTAAATCTGGAGTGAAGTGACTGAGAGATCATTGAATTGGGCTGAGCTTGCCTAGAAGTGACTAGGTAACTTGTTTTCCTTTATCGGATTATGGGTTTAGGGTTTGAAATTAAGCCACATCTGGAAGCCATCATCCTCAGCAAACTAACACAGAACAGAAAACCAAACACCACATGTTCTCACTCATAAGTGGGAGCTGAACAATGAGAACACAGGGACACAGGGAGGGAAACATCACACACCGGGGCTTGTGGTAGGGGTCGGGGGAGGGAGAACATCGAGACTAATAGCTAATGCATGTGGGGCTTAATACCTAGGCGATGGGTTGATGGGTGCAGCAAACCACCACGGCACACGTTTACCTGTGTAACAAACCTGCACGTTCTGCACACGTATCCCGGAACCTAAAATAAAAAAAGAAAATCCAAATGTGCAAACTACAAAAAAAGAAAGAAACTAAGCTACATGAAGAAATTATGGGTTGTTTTGCTTGCCATTGAAATCTGTGATTGTGTGTTAATACCCACAAGTGAGCCAGTGGTTAGCTAAAATAAGACCCAGGGCTCTGGCTGCCTTGTGTTTCTCCAGCGCTCTATTTCTCTATTTTTCCTTCCCCTTCTGGTGTTTGGCCTGTAGGACTCTGTAGTGAGAGCCTGGGTCAGCCCTGCACAGGTAGGATGGGGCAGCATTTCAGTGGGGGTTTACAGTGAGGGGTTGGGGGGCATACGTGTGTGTGTTGGGGAGTGGGCTTCACTTTTGTCACAGGACTGCCACGATCATTTGGGGAACACCTGGGAGTCCCAACCAGGTCATGTCTTGGCAACCCCCATGGACTGACTGAGATAGGGAAGGAGGTGCTACTTCAACTCAGCAGGTCGGCACCCTCCTTGCTGTGGAGCCAAGCCCGGGTCGTAACAAGACTCTGAGGTCAGCCATGTTCAGGGGAGCCCAGAAGCAGCGAGAGTCTTTCATGACTCCGGGGAGAGAAACAGGAAGGGCGACAGTCCTGCCAGTTCCTGGAGCTCTGGGACTGGTAAAAGGGGCTCGGCAGGAGGTGCGTAAAGGGCATTTTTAGTCCAGGCTAAGTAACCTAGGGAGTCGGAGGGGGTTCCCGAGCAACTGGGGATATGAGACCAAGGATTACGAGAGCCACTCCTGCCACCTGTGCCCCGTCAGATGATGTCAACTTCAAATCAAGTATTGGGCCAGTTTTTTTGCAGCTAATATCTGGCTATACCCTCTACCTGTAGATTTGGTATTACTATCCCTCTTTTCCAGATGAAAAGAAATAGGAAGGTGACTTGCCTAAGGTCTTGCAGCTAGAAAGTGACAGAACAGCATCTTCACACTTGACATTCTGTCCCTCATCCTGAAGCTGCAATGATGGAGGATTCCCAAGTAATAGAGTCTCCCCAAGGTCAAAGGAAACCAAATGGAGCCAGCCAGGGAAGCCAAAATGAAAGGAAAGCAAGGGAATCTGTGAAAGTCACGTGACCCTGGCTGGCCACGGTGCCTGTGGGAGAGTGGCCCTTTAAGAGCCCAGGTGTGGGTCAAACACTGAGCAGAGTTTCAGTTTTGGCAGCAGCGTCCAGTGCCCTGCCAGTAGCTCCTAGAGAGGCAGGGGTTACCAACTGGCCAGCAGGCTGTGTCCCTGAAATCAGATCAACGGGAGAGAAGGAAGTGGCTAAAAGTAAGTGTTACTGCTCTGGGATCCCCAGACGGGATGCTATCTGGAAAGGGCTCGGGACGATGGCTCAGGCAACCCCCTCCATTCCTAACTCCCAGTCTCCCAGATAGTGAGGTGAGGACAAGGAGGCAGACTGTGACTATGTGTGGTTGGGAAGTAAGCGTGCATATCCCAGTGGGATGAGTAGGGATACAAGTGTGTGGAAGCCCCCCATCCTTTTCTGATAAATATCAGCAAGTGGGAAGGGACCGCTGTGGTCAGCATATGTAGCTGCACTCTTTCAGCTTGGTCTGCACCTGGATTTCCTAACTCCTCACAGTTGATTAACTGTGTGGCCTTAGGCAAGCCACCTAACCTCTCTGATCCTCAATTTCTTAATCTATAAAACAAAGACAGAAATAACACCTATCATTCAGGGTCAATGTGGGTTCAAATGAGAAAATACGTGTGAAACAGCTTTGTCACCTCTAGAATGAAATAGGAATTGTTTCATATTTTTCAGATTAGTTTAATTAATCAAGGATGTATTGAACACCAGACAGACCTGGGATTAGATAATGCGCATAAAGTATGGCACCTAGCAAGTCCTCTTCCAGTCTTTGAGGTTTCCCGCTTGTGGCTTTCTGGCAAAGGCATGTTCAGCTCCTTTTACTGGGCTTCCAAGAACCCCTGAAATCCTTTCCAATTCCACCTCGCTTTGCTCTAGCAGATTCCTGCCATGGGAGACATAAGTGTGTGTCATCGCATCATCCTGCCCTTCCTAGAGGTAGAAAAAATGAGGTTCTCATGGGATCACTAAGTGAGGTAGGGCTGAGCCCCACAGGCAGCATACTCAACTCCTGCTGCTCCTCCTGGCTCTGCAGCCAGCAGATCTCAGACATGGGCTCCCCTCCCTTTGCCCATCCTGACAGCATCCCAAGCCAGCAGTGAGACTGTCCGGCACAAGGGCAGCAGCTGGTTAAGCTCTGTCCCCGACCCCCAGTTCCCTTTGTGCAACTGCCACGGTGCCTCGGGCCATTGAAGCTGCTCCTATTTTGTGCCATCACTTTCCCCCTTCACTAGGAGAATTATAGATCTCTTAACATCTGGAGAGGAGATGCCACTTTCAGGGGTTTAGGGGTCTGGTGCCTGGATGTAGGTCTTCCCAGAGCCAGATCTGGAATTCTCTCTCCATCCTTCTCTCTGCCCCGGATGTGCTAATGTAACAGAAAGAACACTGACTGAGCCAGGAGTCAGGAAAGCAACTCTCTCTGCCTATCTCCTAGCGCCTCTAGACCTCTGTGGCTTTAGGTGATAAAAAGTGGGGTCACACAGGCTTCCATTTAGTAAACCCACTTGCCCTGGGCTTTCGCAGCTTCATCTCATTCTCCCCTGATACAAACGAGGAGGTAGGCAGGGCTGGTTTTGTGATACCATTCCCTAGCTGAGGAAACCAAGACAGCATGAGTCTATGCGAGTGGTGTAAAGTCATCAGCAAGTTTGAACAGTGAGGTTTTGGTACAGCCATTTTGATACGGTCATGAGGACATTTTGATGTCACCTACAAAGCAAACTATCCAACTTAAAAAAAAATACCTATGCACTGTGCTCAGCAGAGACCTTCGTCTATGTCTTCCCTTTCTCTGGAGGAGCTGGGGCTGGGGTCCCAATGCCACTGGCATTGACACGGTATGGTGGAGTGGAAAGAGGCTTTGGCGTCAACATGCCTGGTTATACACATGGTTATGTAACATATCCTACACGTGGCAGGTGCTAAATAAATAGCAGCTAATATTTTCCAGGAAGAAATTTCTCTGTTGGCACCTACCCCTGGGTCCAGGTGTCTCTTCATTTTTTAATTTTTTGGAGTCTTGCTCTGTCACCCAGGCTGGAATGCAGTGGCGTGATCTCAGCTCACTGCAGCCTCTACCTCCTGGGTTCAAGCGATTCTCCTGCCTCAGCCTCCCGAGTAGCTGGGATTACAGACCCGTGCCACCACACCTAGCTAATTTTTACACTTTTAGTAGAGACAGGGTTTTACCGTGTTGGCCAGGCTGGTCTTGAACTCCTGACCTCGTGATCCACCTACCTCGGCCTCCCAAAGTGCTGGGATTACAGGCATGAGCCACCACGCCTGGCCCCAGGTATCTCTTTATAAGCACTGCCTTTTCTGTGAAAGGCAGAGAGGAAAGAACTGAACAAATTCTCTTCTCTAAGATTGGATATCCTGCTCCTTCCTCTCCCACTGCTTCCTCTCAACAGCAAGACCCTCAGAGGTAGAGCAGAGTGGCTAAGGGCCTATGCTCTTGATCCAGAATCCCATCTAAGTCACTTACCAACTGTGCAACCTTGGGCAAATATCTCACCTCTCTGTGCCTCAATTATCTCACTCATGAAATGGGGTTGCCCATTTTGTCCTATCTCCTAGGGTGGCTGTAAAAATGAAACACATTAACACATGTAAAGCACCTGGAAAGGACTCAGTGTACGTTCTTCTAGCCTAGCCCATAGTGCTTGTCTCCTCTCTTATCCACATGGGTCCAACCTAAGTAGCTCACTCTCTATCTTCAAATGATGCCCAGCAAGCAGACTTCTACTCTCATATCAAGTCCAGGGGACCTTTCTTCCTCTGAAAAAGAGGGAAACCTGAGATTAGATGGACAAAGGTTTGGAGTCCACACCATGAGAGCAGACATGCAGTCACTTTAACTGAATAGGAGCTTGTTAAATACATTTTATAAAAAGAAAAACTATTCTTCAGCACAGCTTACACTCCTGCCCCAATCCACAATTGTGGGGCCATATATTACAAATATGTTGGGACAGTAACTTAGTAAACTGAAAATGATCTAGCACATCCTAGCCTCAGCAGTGAAAAAACAACTGCTAGTTTAAGGACCAGAAAACGTGCCCTCATGCATGATATAATGTCATATACATAAAACTCAATAAAGAAGGCCCCTCTGCTCACTTAAAGCGTGATAATGGGGGTAGTGACCTCAAATTCGGATTCTGCTGTGAGTCTTGGGGTCAAGAATCCCTACAACCCTTAGATTTCCGACCTGTGTCATGAGGATAACAACATCTACTTCTTGGGTTGTTGTGCTGATGGATGAAGTCATACAAGAAAAGAACCTAGCAAAGCATTTGGCACATAGCGAGTGCCCAACATTATGTTCTTTTTCTTCCTTCCTTAAGCAAATCCTTTAAATCCAGCCCCAGCCACCCAGTGGAGTGGGTCTCCCTGAGATTTGAATCCCCCAGGTTTGGAAGAAAGTCTCTGGTTTTGAGAGGAAGGGGTCTCTAATGATTCTGAAAGCTTGGGATCCTTCCGACTGTTACTAGAGAAATTGTACTTCAAGTTTTAGCTTTGGGCAAAGAAGAGCTCCTGTTCCGAGCAGGGGTATCCTCTCCTGCCAATCATCCCGTCTAGGACTGGACTGTGTGCATCCCGCCGATGTTGCCATCTGCCTGACCTGCCTGTGCATGCCTGATGCTGTCATCCCTGGCTTGAGACCATGCAGAGGGTAATGGGTGCACGCACATGTCCCCTCTCCACACAAACATGCACAGTCACCCAAACATGTCACAAAATGAGAAGTCTGGGACAGAGGTCAGGGTCTTCAACTTGGAGAAGCTGGCATCTGACTCTCTGCAACCCAGGCCAAGTCCAGAAGAGGGCTGCTCAGCTTGTAGGAAGACCGCTCCTGTCTCCCACAAATATTAGGCAGTTGCTTATCTAGAGGTGAGGACAGGAACAAGAAGCAAGGACAACTGCTGCTGGTGTGGGTTCTTAAAAGCAGGCAGCATTTTGTCCTCCCACCTATGCCAGCACCCACCCTGTGCCAGCACAAGTAGCAAATGGTAGATCTCTCAGGTCTTTGCAGCCAGCCCATCCCAACTGTTGCCGAGACTTCCTGGCCTCCTGAAAGCTGCTCCCACCTGGGAGCATCTCCCATGGCAGCTTGCAGTGCTTACGCAGGTGATGACACCCCAGCCAACGTCCCCTGATTGCTTTCACGTTGGAGCTGACTGGTATTTGGCTAAGGCCCCACTCCAGGGATTAATCATTGACCTGGTAAGAAAGGTCTGGGGCAATTAACCGGACTCAAGAGAGCCTCGACGTTGCCATCTGACACCCATATCTGTTCCCACTCCCTCCCCTTACTCTTCCAAAGAACTGTAGAAACAAAATACCTTTATATTCACAAGGAAATAAAAGGTTCCTTGCTGGGAAATTCCCCTGCAACAAAGAAATAACCAAGATAAACAACTCTATTGCCTTTGGCTCAAGCTGAAGGGAGTCTGGGAGCAGGAGCAGGGGCCAGGGTGGTGAGGGAGGTCTGGGAGATAATGCCCAGCTTCCTCCTGCTTACAGCATCCTTATCTTTATGGCACTCATTACTGCCCAAACTTACGATCATTTAACACTCTCTTTGTCAAGATAACTCCAAAGTTTAAAGTATGTCAAACTCTGGGAAAGTGGGAACTCCTCTCTCCTCCTCTACGCTGTAGTTGGGGCCTTGATGACAGCTGCTGTCAGGCAGGCCCCTGGGACCCTCAGCTCTCCTCAGCCCTGGGCTTTGTCCACGGTGGTGACAAAGTCCACATGGGCTGCTCCATCTGAGTGGTCTTATCTTTGATTCTTCATCTTTGTCTGCCAGGTCTTACCAGGCAGGATTACAAAGACCCTACCACCTAAGTTTTTAAACCCCAATTCCATAACCAAGTTGCTGGGAAAACGTAAGCCTATCATTCAACATCTCAAGATCTCAATGTTTTATCCATAAAATGGTTGTGATTATACCTCTCTGTCTTATTTCAAGGGAACGTACAAAGCTCAAATGAAATAATGTAAATGATAGTGCTTTCCTAAGCAACAGGGTCTCTACAAATAACACAGATAAGCATAAGGTAAAAGCATGCTCTTGTATTTGGGGTGCCATACAGCAGTGGAGAGGTTAAGCACATGGACTTTGCAGTCAGACAAAGATGGGCCTAAATATTCCCCACCCCCATTCTGTGTACCCCCACACACTTAACCCCTGTGTGCCCTTGAGCAAGCTACTTAACCTTTAAGCCTTCATTTCCTCCCATGTGAATGTGAATAAGAATACTAACCTTATAGGGTTGATATTAAGTCCATATGAGATAATACACATAAATTATTCAACACAGTGCCTGAGACAGAATAAGGGAGCAATCAATGGGGTTAGGACCATCATAATTACATTTACAGCCTTAATAACCATGACACCTCCTCTGTGGGTCTCAGTTTCCTCCTCTGAACACACCGTGAAATATGTCAGCCTGCTTCACCTCCCAGGAATGTCAGGAATGTAGGGAGGGCAGCTGAAACAGAAAGATGGGGCCACGTATTGGTAGGAACAAATCACCCAGCAAGCCGTTCCTGAGATCTTACAGCGTGCCTGGGACTGTGTCTCATGGGCAGGGAAACAGAACAAATGACACAATATCTCTGTCCCAAAGGAGCTTGCAGCTTAGTTGAGAAGACAAAAGCTACTTAGAGCTATGAAGGAAATGTAAGTGTTCAAGGATGATAAGACTTCGAGTTGTTATAGAAAAGGTGGAGGCACTGATTCATTCAACAGGATTTATGTCAATTGCTGGAGATACAAAGTCAAACAGATGTCACAGAAACTCTAAGGTCAACAGTCTTGGAAGACAAGGGGAGCTTCATCTCCTTGTGATTATTGTTTTCAGCATTGCACACGAGAAGTCGGCCTGAGTGGTGCGGCGCTCAGGACACACCAGCAATGCTGCTCTTCGTGCTCACCTGCCTGCTGGCGGTCTTCCCAGGTATGTCTGCCAGGTCCCTACCCCTCCAGCCTGCCTGACTCCAGGGTTCACCTCCCTGGGGACACTAAAATCAGACTCATCCCCAGGGAGGTCCCTCTCAAAGTTGGCACTCCCTTGAGGAAGAGTCATACAGAGACCATGTCTGTGAGCGTTGGAAATCAGGGACAGGAATGGCACTTCCTAATCTCAAGGCCAGGGGTCTGTGAAAGATCTTATTTGAGAATAACAAAGACCTTAACTTCAACCAAGCATCTCTATAACCCGCTGTGAAATCTGAGGGAAATCACTTATCCTTCCTGGCTCTCAATATTTTTATCTGGGGAAATAAAAGACAAGAAAATCATCTACAAAGTGTTTTTAGAAATATAAGGAAATAACACATGGCAAGTGCAAACTTGTAACACCTTATGAAAGTGGTGTTATTGTTTGAAAAAACAAAGGATGGCTGGATGCTGGCTCACTGTTGTAATGCCAGCACTTTGGCAAGCTGAAGCGGGTGGACTGCTTGAGGTCAGTAGTTCAAGACCAGCCTGGCCAACATGGAGAAACCTTGTCTCTACTAAATAGAAATCAAAATTTGCCAGCATGTCCCTGTAGTCCTAGCTACTCAGGAGGCTGAGGCATGAGAATCACTTGAACCTGGGAAGTGGAGGTTGCACTGAGCCGAGATCGTGCCACTGCACACCAGCTTGGGCGACAGAGTGAGACTTTGTCTCAAAAAATATATATATATAAAATAAAAAACAAGGAATATCATAAATTTGTCATTCTCTTGTCCTTGAAATGGTTATCATTAATGAATTACAATTAGAATTTAATCATGATTAAAACAGTCACTTTATTTAATCTCAGCAATTTTCCAGCTGTAATATATGATAAATTATCAACAGAGGGCCTATGTGTCAGGTAGAAAACCACATTTCCTCATAGTGGATTATCTGGAACAGGCTGTACCTCCCAAGGGCCTCAGAAAACCTCTCTCTTCTGTACCCACAGCCATCTCCACAAAGAGTCCCATATTTGGTCCCCAGGAGGTGAGTAGTGTGGAAGGTAACTCAGTGTCCATCAAGTGCTACTACCCACCCACCTCTGTCAACCGGCACACCCGGAAGTACTGGTGCCGGAAGGGAGCCAGTGGCCGCTGCATAACCCTCGTCTCCTCAGAGGGCTACGTCTCCAGCAACTATGCAGGCAGGGCTAACCTGACCAACTTCCCGGAGAACGGCACATTTGTGGTGAACATTGCCCAGCTGAGCCGGGATGACTCCGGGCACTACAAGTGTGGCCTGGGCATCAACAGCCGAGGCCTGTCCTTTGATGTCAGCCTGGAGGTCAGCCAGGGTAAGGATCCAGGCTCCTTGGGTTTCTGGGGGAATGTTAGAGGGAATTCTGTAAGGTGCATGGAGGGCTGGAGGAGGAACTTCCTGACAAGGATGCGTAGCCCGGCCGGGGGTCAGAAGGCTCCCCTCTCCCCAGGCAAAGACTTCTTAGAACAGGAGGAGGAGACAGATAGGGCCTACTTAGGGGTGATAAGTGAACCCTTCTAGGACTTGGTGGCCTATAACATTTTAGGCTTTCTGGAGACCCCAGCTTAGAAGGGTATCAGGAGGACAAGTTTTCTCGTGTTTGCTACAGGTAGAAAGGGAAATCTGACATCAGGCTAAGGAGATAGAAAAGGCAGGGAGAGATTTACAGGGATCTTTAAATTCCTATCATTAATGCACCTTTCATCAAGGTTTGGGCTGCCAAAAGGCTTCTTGTAAAATGTATATATATTTTTTTAACCCAGGAACCCTTAGTCTTTCAGTATTATCAGGATAAACTAGATTATTAGTTCTTGACCAAAGACCAAGATCCTGAAAGGATGGGTTGCTAACAAGCCTATTCTAGTTGGAGAAAGAGAAAAAAAGAAAAGCTCTTTCTGAAAAGGGTTTAACAATGAGGCCATTTTAGATAGTCAAGGACAACTCAAAAGAGAGGTCTAATAGAGGAAAGAAATTCAGGGGGACTCCCAAAGACATGTTCTACTCCTTCGGAATATGCATACTATTGTCTGTGGACTAAATGAGGAGGTCATTCAGGTGGGGATGGAGATTCGAAACCACAGAATCTTAAGAGGTGAAGAGGGCTTAGAGTTTACCCTGTCCAGATGCTTAGAAGAACTTGCCGATGGTGGGTATGCAGCCTCTGATTAAGCACTTTAGCAGAAACTCACTGCTCCTCAAGACAGCCCATTTCGCATTTACACTGTTGTAGTTTTTAGAAACTTCTATTGTATGCATTGAAATCCATCACCCTGCATTTACATTCGTTCTGTTCATTTCAACACACATTAATTTGGCCACCTACTATGCAGAGGCATTGTGCTTGTCACAGCAGAGGGGTCAAACATGAGAAAAACATGCTCCTGCCTTCAAGGTACTTCCAGTCCATGGAGAACATAATTAACCATACACCAGATTGGATGTAATAAGCGATGCAGATGTATCAAGAAAGCATAGGGCAGGGAGAGATTAGTGTCAGCTTGGGGAAGGTTTCATGGAGGAGACGGCCGTCAAGCTGGGCCTTGGAAGACATATTCTGACAGAGTTCCTCTGGGAAGGAGGGCATTCCAGGTTATAAGTCCACTCACACCCTAATTAGGAATAGCAAATAGTCCTATGTTGCAAGAAAGTAGAATCACAGTTTGCCCGCCCCCTACCCTGCACCCCTCATCCTGCAGGTCCTGAGCTCCCAAATGACACTGAAGTCTACACAGTGGACGTGGGCAGAACGGTGACCATCAAATGCCCTTTCAAGACTGAGAATGCTCCGAAGACGAAGGCCTTGTACAAGAAGATAGGCCAGACCTCTGTGCTGGTCATTGACTCCAGAAATTATGTGAATCCCAACTATAAGGACAGAATACGCCTTCGTATTCCAGGTACTGGCCAGTTAATTTTCACCGTTGTCATCGACCGACTCAGGCTCAGCGATCATGGACTGTATCTTTGCCAGGCCGGGGATGGTTCCAATCATGATGAGAAGAATGCTGACCTCCAAGTGCTAGAGCCCGAGCCTGAACTGGTTTATGAAGACCTGAGGGGCTCAGTGACCTTCCACTGTGCCCTGGGCCTTGAGGTGGCAAATGTGGCCAAATTTCTGTGCCGAGTGAACAGTAGGGAAACCTGTGACGTGGTCATCAACACACTGGGGAAGAGGGACTCAGCCTTTGAGGGCAGGATCCTGCTCAACCCCCAGGACAAGGATGGCTCATTCACTGTGGTGATCACGGGCCTGAGGAAGGAGGATGAAGGGCGCTACCTGTGTGGAGCCCACTCGGATGGTCAGCTACAGGAAGGCTGGCCCATCCAGGCCTGGCAACTCTTCGTCAATGAGGGTAAGACCCTAGACAAGGAGAGGGAGGAGGTGGGGCAGTCTTGCAGGTGAGAGCCAAGCTCAACTCCCTCTGAGTCTATTTATCAATAGTCATCAATCAGCCAATAGCATCCACTCACTGACCAGCCCCAAAGTGGAGGCTGTGTGGGCTGCTGCACAGGACAGCCAGAAAAAGCAGCATCTGCCTGGTGGCAGCTCCTAATTACTCTTCTGTTATTAAAGTCCTTTTGATGGCTGTCCCTGCTTAACAAGTAAGAGGTGAGTAAAGCTCTTGATTGAGGCAGGACTTATAGACTGTGTTTCAGGGCTGTGGCAGGCTCTGCAGGGGTCCTCTGTCCCCTCCCCTGACCCCTGAACAAGAGGGGTGCCTCATCCCTCACATTCAGATGGAAAAAGGATTGGCTAATCTTGGTATCAATGCGTTCCCAGGAGTGCCCCAGCTTCTAAATGTTTCACTCCCACATTTTGTAGGGTTATTTGTGAATTTCAGCACCATCTGGCCCACTCAGCCCTACTCTAGTGAGACATCAGCATAGTGAAAGAATTAAATCCCAGCTCCGTCTCACCCCAGAGCACCCTGCATAGAGTTGCCCTCGCGAGAAGCAGCAAACCCGTACTTGCAGTTCCAAGTATCTGTGCTTGTGACTTTTTTTTTTAAAGGGGCTTATGTTCCCTGCACGCCATGTTCATGTCCAGCTTAGGGTCCTCACCAGGACCCCCTGCATCTTTGGTCACCTGGTTCTCTCTGGACCTCGGCTTTAGCTGCCTGGACAATGGCTATCGTCTTTGAGATGCCCCTTGGGGCCCCAACAATTAAGCTCACCTTTGCTACATACTTTATATTTTACATAATACCTTTCTAAATATATTTTCTTAATTTGGACATAATCCCATTTGGCCACTTTTGTGGAATACCCTTGTTAGTGTATAATACAGACAAAACCTTATACAGAGGGAGAGTTTGTAAGAAGCCAAAGAAGAAGAGCTGATATTCTCTCCTTCAACTCCTTCCATTCTCTGCTCAGAATAATGTGGAGGAAAAGAACAACATGCCCAGGTTGACGGGGAGACTCCATGTCCCCGGAGTCTGGCCCTGGTGGCTCCAGCTGCAGGCTCTGTGACATTAGGAAAGTTCCTTTTCATTTTCTGAGGAGGGTAAGGTGATGCATATAAACTTCACTCCCTATCCTGGCTGAGACCCCAGGAAGAAGGCTTCTCAGGCCACGCAAGATTCTTCCTGCGTGGCCATCCTCCCATCCCATCTCTGTCTGTGCTTTCAGAGTCCACGATTCCCCGCAGCCCTACTGTGGTGAAGGGGGTGGCAGGAGGCTCTGTGGCGGTGCTCTGCCCCTACAACCCTAAGGAAAGCAAAAGCCTCAAGTACTGGTGTCTCTGGGAAGGGGCCCAGAATGGCCGCTGCCCCCTGCTGGTGGAGAGCCAGGGGCTGGTTCAGGAGCAGTATGAGGGCCGCCTCTCCCTGCTCCAGGAGCCAGGCAACGGCACCTTCACTGTCATCCTCAACCAGCTCACCACCCAGGACGCCGGCTTCTACTGGTGTTTGACCAACGGCGATACTCGCTGGAGGACCACCGTGGAGATCAAGATTATCGAAGGTAAGAGTTGAACAGGAAGGGAGAAAGCTCTAAGACCTCTCCAGCCAGCAGCAGCATCCCCAGCCACTCTTCCTCCTTTTTCACTCACCTCCACCCTGATGGGCCAGACCTCAGGAGGGAGCCCACCTATTCAGAGGTCTCATTTTCATATCTGTAACACGCACCCTACACTCTGAATTACCATACATGGTACCTCCTACCATCAAGAACATGGGCCTCTTTCGCAGTGTGCAGGCGTCCGCTGAAGTTGAGGATTGCAGATACCTCTTTGTATGGAGTCTAGAAGAGAAGGAAGAGTGAGGAAAGCAAACTGAAGTCCATGTGCAAAGATCTATGGGTTATGGTAGACTCTGGATTGATCATGGTGCTCATCAATAATAATTATTACCTAGGCACACAATTACATTTCTTACGTAGTCAGAATAACATACTTATTTCTAATGCTATACGAAGGGGAAATGTAGACTGAGCATGGTGGTACATGCCTGTAATCCCAGCACCTTGGGAGGCCAAGACAGGAAGATCGCTTGAGCCCAGGAGACGGAGGCTGCAGTGAGCTATGATTGCACCACTACCCTCCAGCCTGGGTGACAGAGAGAGACCCTGTCTTCAAAAAAAAAAAAAAAAGGAAAAAGGTTGAGATACATACATACATACATATATATGACATGTGGACAGTGACACCAGAGTCACTTTCCTGCAGCATCTCCAAGTACCAACTTCTGTGCTTATTTCTACCTCCCTCCCTCCTCCAGGAGAACCAAACCTCAAGGTACCAGGGAATGTCACGGCTGTGCTGGGAGAGACTCTCAACATCCCCTGCCACTTCCCATGCAAATTCTCCTCGTATGAGAAATACTGGTGCAAGTGGAGTAACACAGGCTGCCAGACCCTGCCCAGCCAAGACGAAGGCCCCAGCGAGGCCTTCGTGAACTGTGACGAGAACAGCCGGCTTGTCTCCCTGACCCTGAACCCAGTGACCAGGGCAGACGAGGGCTGGTACTGGTGTGGAGTGAAGCAGGGCCACTTCTATGGAGAGACTGCAGCTGTCTATGTGGCAGTTGAAGAGAAGGTAGCAGGTGAGTCTCCAAGGGCAGGGCCTACACCCCTCAGACCCAGAGGCAGGACTTCCTGAAGGCCCCTGCCTAAGAGCTTCTCAATCAGTGCTGGCCCGTATGTTTGGCTGTAAAAGGCTGAAAGTGGAGGGGGGGAAGGGAGGGGACATTTAGGTCCTGTATAGCCTCATTAAGCCTTTCAAAAGGGACATCTCAAATAAACATACCAACTAAATAAAAATAGTGGGTTTGCAATTTAACCTCGGCATTAAGACAACTCCCAGCTGAATGTGGTGGCTCACACCTGTAATCCCAGCACTTTGGGAGGCCAAGGTAGGCAGATCACTTGAGGCCAGGAGTTCAACACCAGCCTGGCCGACATGGAGAAAACTCGTCTCAACTAAAAATACAAAAATTAGCTGAGCATGGCGGTGTAATCCCAGCTATCTGGGTAGCTGAGGCATGAGAATTGCTTGACCCAGGAGGTGGGGGTTGCAGTGAATGAGATGGTGCCACCGCACTCTAGCCTGGACAACAGAGCTAGATTCCATTTCCAAAAAAAAAAAAAAGGCAAGTCCCATAGTTGCCACTTCAACCCAGATTGAAGTCTCTTCTCTATCTGGAAATATTCTTCTCTGTATAGAAGAATAATATGCATACATCACTGTCATATACAATATGTTCATCTCCCTTCCCCCTGCCAAAGCTTGCCCTCAAAAGAGGGCCGGGTACCTTCGTTTACAAGGTCTGATCAAGAAAATTAGGAAACATCTAGTAAATTTGCATTTCAAGTCCTCTTTTAAAATTTCACATGAAATGTTTCAGCCCTAATAAGGGTATTTCGTAGTCCCTCAAGAAATCCTATTTTGTCTGGACCCTGCCGTTGGGACTCACTGAGGGGCCCTTTGCCAGGCTACCTCCAGGGGGCAGCACTATCGCACCCAGTTGGGCAGTCGGGAAGCCTGGGGCCAGCGTCTCAGAGCCTTGAAAATCTCCCCAGCCTAAGTGATGGGTCAGCCTTAATGATAGGTCAGCCTTTATGCACAGCTGATCTATGACACGAAGGCTTGAAGGTCCCCACCATACGTTTGGTAGTAATGGGGCAGAGATCATCTGTGACAGCTGAAGAAGGCCATCACAGCTCTGTTTCTAATGCCATCCTGGGTCCTACCCCAACAGCCTTGAGATTGAACCCTGACCCTGTGATTCCTCATGAAGTCTCCCCTGACTCCTTCACCTCGAGGAGTAAGAGCATAGAGAAAAAACCACAACCCAAGCCCCACTCTTCCCTGCGGCAGGGTCCCGCGATGTCAGCCCAGCGAAGGCAGACGCTGCTCCTGATGAGAAGGTGCTAGACTCTGGTGTCCGGGAGATTGAGAACAAAGCCATTCAGGATCCCAGGCTTTTTGCAGAGGAAAAGGTCGTGGCAGATACGGGAGATCAAGCTGGTGGGAGCAGAGCATCTGTGGATTCCAGCAGGTGAGGAAGGATTCAAGGCTCCCCACTCGGAGAACACCCCAGAGCTGAGCACCTGAGGCTGGGCCACCAGGTCCAAGGAGGAAAGCCTGTCTGTCTCTTGAGCACTGGGGCAGCCCTTACTACCTCTGCTTATACAATAAGTGGGAGGGTCCCATGGTACCCTCTGCCCTTCTCCCACAGCTGGGGAGGTGTTTACAAGTCAGTTCAGTCTTCCGGGTCTGGGATGCAACAAGGTCCAGTGCTTGCCTTTGCCAGTCTGGGAAGGCTTCTTAGAAGAACAGAGCTAGGGAGCTGCATCAGCAAGATGGGGTGGATAAACCTGGGAGGACAAAGTAGCCGAGTCAACCCTGGCAGCACATCCTCGGGCCCCCAGATCTCCTTTCCAGGGATGAACTAACTTAAGCCTTCTTCCAGCTCTGAGGAACAAGGTGGGAGCTCCAAAGCGCTGGTCTCCACTCTGGTGCCCCTGGGCCTGGTGCTGGCACTGGGAGCCGTGGTTGTGGGGGTGGCCAGAGCCCGGCACAGGAAGAACGTCGGTGAGTTCTCCTGCCTCCACCTCCAACCCGAGCCCTCAGTCCTGAATCATCTACCCATAGAGGAAGCTGCCATTGTCTCTCCTTTTTCACGGGCTAAAACAAAGGATCCTGAGAAAGCAGGATGGGGAAAGATAAACCTACACATACTCGAAACTTAAATTCGGAGCTGCTGTCCAAATACTAACTCTGGAAAATCATCTGCAATTACCCAGGGTCTAGGTTCAGAGGCAGGGCTGCCAGGAAGAGAAGACTGGGTTTCAGGAGACCCTGGGCTTGGACTAATTGGATAACTAATGAGCTGTGTGACATTGGGCCATCCTTATGCCATGCCTCAGTTTCCTCATGGCTCAAGACAAGGATGATAATCACTACCTCACAGAGCTGATGTGAGGACCAAAGGAGATATTGTTCATTGAAAGATCCCAGAGTGACAAACAAAGATCAGGGATTACCAAGTCCTGATTACCCAGGAAAAGGGACTGGGAAGGAGACTCGGATCATTTCTATCCCCCTGGGTCATAGTCAGAGGTGCACCACCTCAGCTGTCCTGCAGGGCTACAGTGGATCTGCCTAGAGACAAGCAGCCCAGCCTGGCCTTCTAGGTCCCAGCCCCTGTCCCTACACCAACTCCTCTTCCTCCTGGACAGACCGAGTTTCAATCAGAAGCTACAGGACAGACATTAGCATGTCAGACTTCGAGAACTCCAGGGAATTTGGAGCCAATGACAACATGGGAGCCTCTTCGATCACTCAGGAGACATCCCTCGGAGGAAAAGATGGTATGACCCTCACTCAAGGGAATGCACAGCCCCTAGGGAGAGCAAGAATTGGCCCCACATCTGGGTTGGGAAAAGGAGGCTAGTAAGGGCTCACCTACCCTCTTTCTTCACACAGAGTTTGTTGCCACCCCTGAGAGCACCACGGAGACCAAAGAACCCAAGAAGGCAAAAAGGGTGAGGAGGAAGAAGGAAGCCCCACTATGTGCCAAGGAAATGCAGCATGAGGGATGCAGTTAGACTTCAGGAAGAACTACCTTAATATGGGGGCTGATCCCAAAATAGGGAGGATGGTATAAATAGTCCTTAGGAGTCCTCAGGACTTTTTGAGGAAGAACTGTATCTTACTGGTGGTGGAATGCTAATGTGGATAAGACCCAGGAAGGAGGTGAGCTATATGATTAGGCTGTAAAATGGCAAGAGGGAGGCAGGCCGGGAGATGAGAAAAGCAGGTACATAAAAGATGGGAAGCTCCAATGCCAAATCCTGGTGATTAAATGGATGCTCTTCCTGGGTTGGGGGACCCAAAGACCTTAGGCCACCCATCCTCCCTTAAGGGTTTGCTCAGGACCAGCTTTTTGCCTGGTCCTAGGAGACATTTGCTCGCTGTGGGCAGTTTGAGGCTAGAAGCCCCTGCTCACTTCTCTTGAAGCCCCAGTAGAGGCAACTCCTGCCTTTGGGTGCCATATACCATCCCCGCAATCTTCCCTAGGACTCAGGGGAACCAGAAAAATAACATCTCGTGCCTCTAATCCCAAGGTGATAGTTTTTGTTGTTGTGGTTGTTTTTATCATATCTACTTTTTCTTGAAACATCTCTGGCATTTAGCAAAGTTAGAACAAGTTATTCCTGGAGACAGCCTTCCCCTTTAACTCTGTGGTGCCAAAAAGCTACCTCTCTGGGCTGGTAAGAAAGAAAAACATACACCACCGTGGTTGACCCCAGCCTAGGCCACCTTGCCCGTGGACTGTGTGGGCAGCTTCCGGGGACAGGCCCGGGCAACAGAGGCGGTTCCACTCCACGTGTCAGAAGGAGGTAGTGAGACAGAAGGAGATATTTTTAGAGGCTGCAACTTTCCATTTCTCAAAATGCGTCCTGTTTGGTGAACATGGGGGCTGGGATGAGAACAGTGGGCCCCACAGGCTTGTGTTGCTTGGACCAAGATCATGAATTCAGGACATTGAGTACTTCCCCTCCCCCGACTCCACCCACTGAGCCAGTGCCCCCCACACTGACGCTTCTCCTCTTGTGCCTTAGTCATCCAAGGAGGAAGCCGAGATGGCCTACAAAGACTTCCTGCTCCAGTCCAGCACTATGGCCACCGAGGCTCAGGAAGGCCTCCAGGAAGCCTAGATGGTGTCGCCACCTGCCTCCTGCACCCATGACAATCACCTTCAGAATCATGTCGATCCTGGGGCCCTCAGCTCCTGGGGACCCCATTGCCTGCTCTAACACCTGCCTAGGTTTTTCTTACTGTCCTCAGAGGTGTGCTGGTCCCCTACTCAGTGACATCGAAGCCTGGCCTAATTGTTCCTATTGGGGATGAGGGTGGCATGAGGAGGTCCCACTTGCAACTTCTTTCTGTTGAGAGAACCTCAGGTATGGAGAAGAATAGAAGTCCTCACGGGTCCCTTGAAGGAAGAGGGACAGGGGTGGGAGAGCTGATTGCAGAAAGGACAGACGTGTAACGCCCCTCTGCACCCTTATCATGGGATGTCAACAGAAGTTTCCCTCCACTCCATCCCTCCCTCCCGTCCTTTCTCTCTTCTTCTTTCCTTCCATCAAAAGACATATTTGAATACATACTAGAATTCAGGTGCTCTGCTAGATGTTGTGACAGGTATGCCACCAACACCGCTCACAGCCTTTCTGAGGACACCAGTGAAAGAAGCCACAGCTCCTCTTGGCGTATTTATACTCACTGAGTCTTAACTTTTCACCAGGTGTGCTCACCTCTGCCCCTGTTGGGAGAGGTCATAAAATTTCTCGAGTCCTAAAGCCTCAGGGGTCATGTATGATGAGCGCACATACAGGTAATTATAAACCCACATTCTTACCATTTCACACATGAGAAAATTAGGGTTTGGAAGAGTGAAGCATTTTTCTTTCTTTCTTTCTTT